AAATTCGAAATAAATAATTTGTTATTAAAATTAATGTTATGAGTAATTAAGTATTGGATTGTGTCCTTCAGTGTTTCCAAAATTTTAGAAAATTTCAAAGCTTTTTCAATAGTGGTTATAATTTGAGGAAGTGAAGATTGAAATGTTTTTTAAAAGTTGAAGTTATACCTTAATACTTTCCTCTGTAAATTATAATTTAATTTCTTATATAATGAAGTTATAACTTTCCTCTTTACCATGATGATCTTTATTCAATGCAAAACATAACAATTTTCACTAAATTTTACCTTGTATACTTTGAAAATTTATTCTTTACTGAGACTGAGAATAGATGCAAGTTTGGATAAGATTACATTTTTCTGAAGAGTTTGTACAGCATCTGCAGATGGCTTATGTATAAGTTTTTCATCTGCTACGCTGCCTGTTCTCATAAATGTGTTATTAAACAGCCGAATATTCGCTCTTGTGTGAGCAAGTTTTCCAAATTTAAGCTTAAGTTCGACTCGAACGGTTTTATATGATACTTATGTCATCACATGGAACTACATTAACATTGCCATTCTACAACCAACCTTTGATATATAGAATAAAACTGAGAAATAGTTATTATATTTTAATCAAAAGAACAGATATTTTAATGAAGTATTAACATATATTTAAAAAGGATGATTTATAATTTTCCCCAAAATTTCGAAAGCTTATTCCGGGTGAACTGGGGACATTTAATTACTAAGAGCACTTGATAAAAAAATAGAAATCAATTAAGTAGTTTTGAAATCTGGTAATATGTTTAATGTTACATGATTATACTAGCAATATCTAATAATTTTCATCTTTTGTTTAAACATAAGAAATGATATTCTAAATATGATAAGTCGAATGCTCTTAAATGTAAGTGTATTGATGGCATAACTCTCTATTATTTGAAACTCGAAGATCTGATTGTGTGTTATATTAAATCTTTTGCTGCACTAATGCAGTTTGTATAATACACTATACAAAATGTATTTTTATTCAAAGCGCACAGCAGAAATTTTTTCCTACTTAGGCATACTGTACTATCAGGTATACTATACTACCAGGCATACTGTTCTAGGGATAAATCGTCTTCATGAACAAATTCAATTTTCAATGATACTCGTATAAATATTTTGCTTTTGTTATATATAACAGGAAATTTTACATAAAAAGCGTCGTAATGATATAGATTTAAAACCATATAATGTTTATGAAACAAAAGTCTTAAGTTTTTAATGGAATATTTGATGGCATGTGACTATTATCATATGTTCAAAATGTTATTCATTAGATAGGCAAAGGAAACGAAAAACTGGATTTTCTGATATTACATGTCAATGAAAATGTATCAAAAATGATATGAATGAAATGGTGAAGAATATATATGTATTCACATGTGTTGCCACCATTCTCCGAAGAGTTCTCAGCATTATTTTATTAGGGTGATAGTATGTTTCTGATTTTTTTACTTAAAATAAAAAATAATGCTTTCAATTTATATGCTTTTATAATTTTAACTAAGTTTTATTCGTAAAGATGTGTATAAATTTTAAGCAGATTTGCAAGAATATAAATTAAGCCGAAAGAATGCTTAGAAGTTTGCTTTCTAGTCATAGTTAAAAATAAAATTACAATAATCATTGATCAGTTTAAATATTATTCTTTAAATTGCAACGAAATACGTAAATCTAAATTTTTCAACTATTTGGTTGGAAAAAAGTATCTCTAATCAAAGGTTTAATCATCCTTTCATTAGGGGGGGATATAGGATCATCCCTTGATATCAAGGTATATAATTATTTTTAAAAGACTGAAATGTTTTGTTCGTTAAAACATATTTGTTATCTTTTGGTTTAAAATATCCAATTCTGTCAAGAAATACTTCTATAATTCTGTTAGAAGTTTGAAAATTTGTCAGTTTGGAAGGGGGGATAATATTAAAAGCTAAAAAAGAGAAGTACCATCCAAAATCTCCACAAAAATATCTTTAACTAGCACAAAAGTTAAAAGCATATCAGTATAAAATATATCTTTCCCAGTTTGCCTTCGGACGATGGCGAATCAAAAAGTAAATTGCGCTTATGTGAAAGCAATTTTAATTAAAAAACATATATTATGCAGTATTAAAAACTACAACAATCTTGACTGAGTTTCCTACATAGTAGCCTAAAAAATTAAAACATTTATCATAACGCACGATTAATTTATCCTTACAGTTGTAAACGAAATCTCTCACTGCATGGTATAATCAGTTCAAGGTCTAATTTTTACATCATTAGTGGTTCGAATTCGTTGCTCTCTGTTTTATTTTACGAAACATATGATAATCACACGGCGATAAATCAGAAGTGTATGGTGAATATGACCACAAGGTTTTCAGCAGTGATAGTGCACGAGACGTTATTGTGCAAAAGAATGATTTCATCAGTTAATTTTCCCTGTGGCCGGTCTTTAACTGCCTTCCGTATTTTAAAAAATTACCAGTAGGGGCTTGCATCGACTATTCCTGCTGTTATCATGAATTCAACAGAAACATCACCGTCATAGTCAAAGAAATTGGTCGAATTAATTTTTCGGAAGCGTCGAAATTTTTCTCATGACCGCAGTGATGGAGATTGGTGGTCTATCGTTACTATATTCTTTAGTTAGATTTTGTGCGACTCTTTCATATTATTTGAATCAGTTCACAACTGCTGGGCTAGATATTGCATTGTCGCCACACACAGCGGAGATTTCACTTGATTTCACTATCAGTGAAAGTTTAGCGTTTAGCTCACAGAGATCTGATTGTTCTGGCCATTTCCAGTTTTAGAATATGAGTACTAAGGACATGTAGTTACGAAATATCCAACAAACGGGTTAAGAAGGAATTATACAAATAACTAAATTTATAAGGTATTTTCTCCCTTTATACCGTGTGCCTTGGTGGTGTATTGAAAATCATGTCTGGGGAGCAAATGGGAGATCCGAAGTCCAAGTCCTGATGAGCTCATAGCTCACTTTTTCATGTTTCCTTCTCGAAATAAATGCAGTGGCTCTGCAGTTTCTCTCCCAAAACATGTATGTATATTCTGCACCTTTGTTAAATGTAGTCATACTTAGTGCAAAGGCTGCCAAGTGCAATTTAGATTTTAATTCATGTACATAACAGGCCGCATCATATAACTATGGATTAACCTCTGTGAGCCACTTTTCTTTTCGGAAGAAACTCCGAGGACAGTTAATGTACCCAGACATGCTACAGCAGTTGCTAATGCACCAATAATGAGAAAACAGTGAGGTCATCGTTCTTCAACAAGATGGAATTTCCCAGATTTTAATGAGAATGTCCTCGTTTAGCTCAGTTCCAAACTTCCTGGTTGTTGGACTGAGCGTGCTTCTCGAGATGACTCCCTTTCTCTTCTTGACTTCCAAGTTCACTTAACAACTTCAATTGATTTTTTTTCTTGTGAGGTTACATCGAAGATCCCTCCTTTGCGACATAACTTTACGTAACTGCAAGGAGGGGGTACATATGTGGCATCTGATATCGATCGTGAGATGTTACGACCCGCGTAGTAAGGGCTTGAACTCTAGATTGATATCTGCTGTGTCACTAGAGATGCACATATCAAGCACATGTAGGATTCATATAAAATTTGGAGAGATTTTTTTTATGTACCAATATTTTTTTGCTCCAATTATTATAGTTAATGCAATATAAACTTCCGAAATTCCATAGGGAATTGTGAATCACCTTATACAGAGAGAGAGAAAAAAAAGAAATGCCGATGCAATGTTTTTAAACGAAAATATAAATTTTACAAGTGTAACTGAAAAATGATTAAAGTGAACAGGCATCTTACAAAAGAGTCATTTTCTGTTTTTTGATTACAAATTCCGGTTTTATCAAAAGCCCTATAGTTAACCATTAAAATTTTATTTTTGAAATTCCTTCAAAATTGAAGCAAAGTATAAAACCAAAGAAGAAGAATGGCATGGGGACTGCATACATTTGTGATCTAGCTGGCATATAGAAAGTCATTACTTCTAACACATAAAGATTTATTTTGAATATTTTATAAAATCCATGGATGGCCATCCGTCCCATCATATGAAGTGAGGGAGGCGACTATACTTCATACAAAGACTATTTGATATTAATGCCACAATAATCCTAGAGTAAACGGCGTTTATTATTTGAGGAAATATTCATACATATAATACTAATTGTAACAAACTATGCTGAGCATGGTCTAAAAACAATTTAAATTGGTAATTGAATACTTAGAAGTTCACTGCCAGTACAGTAAACAAAGAGTATTGGAAGTTTTGCTTTGAAGTGAATATAAGAGCAATAAATGATCCAATGTAATAAAATCAGTTTTAAAAAAAATGTTTAGCGCAATAAAATGCATGGAACGTATACAGTCTTTCCAGTTTTCGTAATATTTTCACTTTAGATTTGGCCCAATTATGTGAATTGCTTATTCCCAGGCGCACCATTATTCATAGAATCACTGAATACTTTTTGCAGAATATGCTTGCTGGACCATGTAAAAGTTATGTAATGCATTAACTTGTTACAGGGAAAATTCGAAATTCATTCAAGTATATGAAACAAATTCCACATTTCATTTCATCACTTTATTTGTTGTTTATTACTTTACAGCATCCATTTAACTGCTTAGATATAAAAAGTAAATGTTTGTCGCTAATAATAGTTCATACTTGGTATTTAAAGCAACAACGTTATTTTAACTTCTCACCAGCTTTGGAAGCCTTTTTAGCAGTTTTTTCGTGACGGACTATGCACTTTTTTTGTTAGCATGTGAGATATAAAAATAACCATAATGTTTGCCATTTAAGAAATTTGCCACTTCATTTTGTCCCATAAAATGTTTACCCAAGCCTTTCGTCCTTTAAATATTCGAAACTAAATCGCAGAGCAAACATTTTTCTAGCTAATTAAAAGAGAGAATGTGTTAACGATTGTTACTGACCAACATCACTTCCAAGACCGGGCGACTTCCTTCCCAGACTTCCAGCGTCCCCTGAATCCGGAGATCGGCTAGTAGGAAGCCGGGAGAGAATGTTGTCCAGCTTGCATCCTGAAATGGAAGAATAAACATCTGCAATATTTTTTAAACAAGATGACATATTTTATTTTATTCATAACGGCAAAAAAAAAAGCATTCTCTAAAAGTTTGATCGAAAATAATTATTATTTTATTACACAAACATTAATTCGCTATTTGAAAAAACGTACTTATTTTTAGCAATTGATCTTTATTTAGATCTATTTATAATCTTATTTATAGTTTCCATTTACCTATGGTTAGAGACGCAAGAATCACGTAACAGTTTTGTGCGATAGTTTGACTGACATATTAGCTATCTTTATCTAATTATTAATGCTGATTCGCTTCAAAACCTGTTTGTGCAAATGTTTGATTTATTGTAGATCTACATTTTACGCATCAAAAGGGAAACAATTACTTTGAAAGAGAGGAGACTATTTTTTTAACCGTGTAAAAGCTCAAAATTTAAGAACAATCTAAACAACGTTAACTTTAGTGTAATGCTAACAAATTTGGATTCTACTACAAAAAACAAATAATTATTTTTACAGAAATAAAATATGTTTTCGCTACTTTCTATTATCAGATGCAATACTCCAAATTTTAAGTGCATTATTACACAGGAAAATCAGTCAAAATTACAGCTTTTCATACGGAACGATAACATAGCTATGATGTATTCGGGGAAAAAAACCGTTTAAAAAATTAAAATGCTGATTAACAGGAACAAATTTATAAATTACATCTAAGAACTCCAAAGTTCTTTGGACGTATATTAGTTATTAAGAGATAAGACAAGTTCCTCTTCCCAGTATAAGCAATATTTATCATAAACTCAGGTTATAAGGTATAACTGTTACACAACGGTAAAGTGTATAAGGTGCACAACAGTACGTACAACGGTAAAGTGTAACAGTAGCACACTCGGGGCGTATTTGAGAGGTCGGGTTTGAGTCCTGGCCAGGGCATTACTCATTTTTCATGTCTCATGCTTCTTCATAAAATCGTAATGACTCTACAGTGGAGCAAGCTGGTGGACGATAATTCATCACCACCAGAATTTGGCGATTGTGTCCGCTCATCCCCATTCGTATTTTAAAAGGTGGAGTATATATTTTCTCCCTCCTTTTTCAGCATGTCTTCATGGCATAACGGTAGCATAATCGACAAGTATTCAAGCGGTCCAGGTTCGAATCCCGGCGAGGGCACTGCACATTTTTCACGTCTCCTACTTGAGAAATAACCTAATGACTCTATAAGGTCCAAAAATTTCAATTTTCTTGGAGGTGCTAAGAAAGCTATAAATATTTTTTTATTCTAGAGCTCCTTTGTCACAGGTTTGGAGCATTTTGCATCATGCGCCTATCATTCAAGCACTCTATAATTCATATTCTTTTAAACTTTGACCTAGTGCTTTTTTAGAAAAAAATTGCTAGCATTACGACCATTCACTCTTTTCTAAGTTTGAATTACGGTATTTACTTCCGTATTTCTTCCCCCTTTTTTTACTAATTTTATCGTAAAAAAAATCAAGAAGGGAAAATTATGCAAATAATTTAATTTCAAAGGACGCGGTTATAGTAAAAACATAAAAGATGAAAATTATTCATGGATACTACTACCGGTAAGTTATCGCTGAAAAAGAGAATTTATTACCGAAAATGAACTATATTCAGTACTAAAACAGAACAAAATCTTTTGTTTATTACAATCTAAATTCGATTCATTCAAGATTATTTAAATATATTTTAGAGAAATTTAATGTCACTAACTGCAGTATAGGTACTGAAAAATGCATAAAATCTGCATTGAAAGCGTATGCTTCAGTGCCTATTGCAAATTGTAAAATATTGCAAACCGTGGAAGAATGCTTTCAGATAAACGAAAAATGGAATTCTGATTTTAATCAAACAAAGAGGTGGAAATAATAACGCTGTTACCAGTGCAAGAAAAGTGTGTAATGAATGTCTAAATGTTTAATAAAAAATGTTTAAATGTTAAAAAAAGTGTTTAATGCTTTTCAAATACTTTGAGTATATATATAGATTATCATTTATCATATAAACGTTTAAAACTTCTTAATTAGACACAGCAAATTTAATAATCTAGATATATACAGGAATTCACATGTGTACTCCTGCACAGAATCTTCTTATTCAAGGTAACAATCATCCATTCACTGGTACTCTCATTAGAAGAAAAGAGAGTTGTCTGAAGATATTCTAGGCTAGCCTTCATGTTTTTATGAGAATTATAAAAATATTCGCTTATTATACTCTATAAAAACGTCGAGAGCGAATACATACTAAATACAAGTAAGGTGTCAAATTGCTAAATGTGACGTTTATATCAACAGAAAACATATTAAACAATAATGTTGATCAGATCAGATCCGTTAACTAACACTCACAGAAAAGCAAGTAGAAAGAAGAAAATCTTTTTCAACGGGGGTAACTGCTTTGCGTCAATGCTTTCAATATTCTATTAGAGAGTACCTATGGAACTCGCTAATAATTATATACTTTTCAAGTGATGTTCAGTAGCAAGGATAAATAATAATACTTGTTGATATCTATCCTATGCCATTAAAAAACACTTAGATTTTAGGTTTTATCATGCTTTTATCACGAATATATAATAAAAATAATACAATAAAATACGTAGACATTTATTAATGGAATAAATACGTAAAAAGGAATTATTATTTTTTTTTTTTTAAATGTCTTAGAACAATTTATATAAGATGTAATCGTAAGTTTTCTTTATTTGAAGTATATTAAAACTCTCGTTACATCTATAAGAAGTATACGCAGTATTTTTGGATCTCTAACTAAACTCAAATACGTGATATATATATATATAACAATAGTCAGTAAAAAAATTACATTTTTAAATCCGATTTTGCTAGTTTTTTTCAGTCTAACATAAAACAGAGGTTCGAATCCCGCGAACGGGCTGGCTGCATGGGCGTTTTCGTGGATTTCCCCATGTGTAACGTGTATACGAGTCAGTTTCCCTTAGAAAGTCATCCACTAAGGCATCCCTTCCCTTAGGCAGATAGCCCTTGTGTGCTTTGCCATAATTAAATAATTGATATATATCTATATAACAATAGTCAGTAAAAAAAAAATACATTTTTAAATCCCATTTTGCTAGTTTTTTCAGTCTAACATAAAACAGAGGTTCGAATCCCGCGAACGGGCTGGCTGCATGGGCGTTTTCGTGGATTTCCCCCATATGTAACGTGTATACGAGTCAGTTTCCCTTAGAAAGTCCTTCACTAAGGCATCCCTTCCCTCAGGCAGATAGCCCTTGTGTGCTTTTCCATAATTAAATACACCACACCACACCTAACATAAAACATTTTGCCAAGTGTATGTCTCTAGAAATTTGCAAAAACTGGTTTAAAAAGGGTAAAATTTAATAAAATTTAGCTTATTAAATTTTAAAAGCGTATTGTACATCACTGTGGCCCACTAGCAGCAGCGCAGTAAGACTGCTGAAAACTGATTTTTCGACCCGTGCTAAAATCCCGGCAAATGGCTGGCTGCATGGGAGGATTATTATTTTTTTTCCAAACGTAATGAGTAGTACCAGTTTCTCTTAAAACGTCCCCCACAAAGTTCTTCTTTCCCTTACTCAGAAGGGCTTCGTGTAGTTTGCCTTAATCCGAATGAGTAATTTAAAATTGTAGCTCTTTTGCTATTGTAGTGTCAACATTAGTGCTGTTGACATTTTTCCCTACCCTACCTGACATTTTCCCCTAATGGTGTATTTTTGTGTAACTTGCAACTTTTGTGTTAGTAACGTTATAAGGTATTTCTCCTGCCTTGCTAGCGTGCCTTCGTGGTGTAGCGGTTCTGCACGCTGGGCCGGTATTCCAGAGGTCCGTAGTTCGATTCCCAGCGAAGGCGATTGCTCATTTTTCAATCTCTGGCTTCCAAAAAATATCCTAATGTCTCTACAGTGGTGCCCGAACTAAAAGGTTAATAGATGATGATTTTTCCCCACCACAAATTCGGCGATTGGGTCCATTAAAAACACCAGTGTCCCTTTAAAAGGGGGAGTATATAAGGTATTTCTCCCGCCTTGTTAGCGTGCCTTCGTCGTGTAGTGGTTTTGCACACTGGGCCGGTATTCCAGAGGTCCGTGGTACGATTCCCGGCGAAGGCGATTGCTCATTTTTCAGTCTCTGGCTTCCAAAAAATATCCTAATGTCTCTACAACGTTTTGTGTTAAAGAATCTTTACGAACGATGAAAGATGCGCATATAGTGGATCATATCATTGCATCCCCCTTCCTTTTCACAGGAAGTGCACTAAACGTAACTTGTAAGACACTGAGTAATAACAAAAGATACACAGCCTAACTTAGAGGATTTTGTTTTTGTGTTTTCTTAATTTTTGTAATTACTTTGACAGTTCTGATGATATATATTAATATTTTGCATAGAAACACACAGAAAAAGTGTTACTGGGACAAACAAACTTAGTTGATCTTATCTTGAATGAGGACGTGAGGAACTTGGCTAAATAACATTTACCAGAAAAGAGCACTCCAGTTACAGAAGTTAGACCCGACATCATGAAACACACAACGAACGGGCTTGCTGCATGGCGTTTTCGTGGTTTTTCTTATGCGTAATGTGTATAAGAGGCAGTTTCCCTTAGAAAGCCTTCCACGAAGTCATCCTTTCCCTTAGGCAGATAACCCTCGTGTGCTATGCTATAATCAAATATATCGAACCAAACCAAACTAAGAAGGCCGAAGAGTACAGGGACAAAAGTACTCTGAAAAACGTAAAGGTATAATATGTTTGAACCTCATAATTCATGGAAAGAGCTCTTGGTTTGCTCATTTAGCAAATTCGCAAACAAGGTTAAAAGAAAAAACACTTATGAAAAAAGGCTATACCAAAAAAGAAAAATGTTGTCTAAATGGGCCTAGGCCTCTCACCCGTCGAGCTGTAAAATCACCGAACACTGGTAGTTCAACCCGGGCTCAAACATCAGAGAAGAGGCTGATGGCAT